CTGGTGCTCGGCCTGGACGGGGCGGGGAAGAGCAGCGTGCTGCACTCGCTGGCCACTGACCGCGTGAAGCGCGGCACGGCCCCCACGGAGGGCTTCAACGCCGTCTGCGTCCACGCCGGAGAGACCCAGATGGAGTTCCTGGAGAGTGAGTGAACGCCTTTTAACGTGCAACGTAGGAAAAGCCGTTACGCTGCATCGAGGGGTCGGGCTCCTACTTAAAAATCTTCCTAGGCACCTGTGCCCTGCACTGGATGGTTCAAAGGCTGTTATCGCCTTGGGGATTCAGCTTTCCCGTCCCGCTTCTTGAAGGAGATGACGTATTGGTATCGAGGAGGGTCTGCGTTCGTGCAGGCCTGTCATCCAGTGAGGCTGCTCCCGGACGGAGAGAGAAGGTTCGCAGGCTCGGTTGCGTGAAACCAGCCCAAAGCAGAGGCGTCCCTGGCAAGGCCTGTGTTCTGGTCCACGTCCGCTGCGTGTGGTACAGCTTCTCCTTGGTGTTCACATCTGACAAAAGCCAGGAGTGGAAGAGAAGCAAATAACAAGCTGAAAGAGCAGAGCAGAAAGATCCTTTTTTTTTTTTTTTTTTCCCCTCCACGTGCTTTTTGTTCAAAAGCCTCATAGGTTTTGTTTTCTAGTCTTCAGTGGCCTATCAATGTCTTTAGGTTTTCACTCATCTTTCTGTGTCGTCCTTAGTGCTGATTTTTGGGTGTTGCCTGGGCCTGCAGAGAGCATGTCTTGGGATGCTTTTTGGGACTAGCCATTCTAGGGGCAGGGGAAACCCCCGGGGGGGGGTGGGACAGAGGGGCCAGTCTCTGGCACCAGAAGGCTGACATCCCCGCCTCATCAGTGTCTGGCTTCTGCAGCGGCAGAAGCTGCCTGCTGCTTCCCGTCAGTTTAGTGCTGTTGGGTACAAGTGCTTGACTGGCTTGCTTGGCAGCTAGTCCAGGGACACCTTACTACCTCTGTCAGCAGGCCTAAAGTGGTTATACTATTTCCAGGCACGTGGGGGTGAGACTTTGGGATGTGAAGATGAGGCCTCCAAGTTGGAGTGCGTCATTCCCTGTTCCAGCATCGTAAGGAGCCTCTGTAGCTTCTTAGGGAAACCATCTCTCCAGAGATGCTTGCAGCCTGTGCCCCTCTCCTAGTAGGTATTTGGCACCGCTGTCTCCCACTGGCTTTGCTGGAAATGGAGGTCCTCTGCCTAGCTGAGCCCAGAGAAACCCACCAGGGTTTCTCTGTTCCTGCCTGGGGATTGTCTGGGCCCGGCTCTGTGCGACCCATAGTAGGACCTGTTGTTTCTGATTCGTCCTTCCGTCTCCGGTCTGGGTTGGTAGTGACTGAGCTGTGATGGCTGTGGACTGACCCGCGTGAATGAAATGTCTCAGGCCAATTTCAGCCAGGTAAATCCGTGCGTGGCTCTCTAATCTGGTTACTTATCTGGTCCGTACCATTGCCTAGTCCAGGCAGGTTATCTGCCTACGCTGTGATCACGTGGCACAATATGATCAGCAGGCTGATCAGGGTTTTCATTGGGCTGACCTGGGCAGGTAGAAGACTGTCCTTTCTTCTTTGTACCATTATATAGCTATAAGTAGGGTGGTGTCTTGCCTCTGCGAGGGCCAGGAGCTCCTGGCTTTGGCCGAGTCCCTCCTGGTTTGGGAAAGAAAATGCTCTCTCTGAGGTTGCTGACCCCTGGGTTATGCTATGCATGAATGTACTGAAGAAAGGGAATGGTGGTGAGCCTCCAAAACATCAGAGTGCAGCATCAGGAGCGCCCGTCCCAAGTGTGACATGTCAGCCATGGCTCCTTCCCCGGGGCAGACTGCAGTTCTGCCTGCAAATATGCCGAGGCTCTTAAAAAAGAGGCAGGGAAACGTTGCTTCCATTTCTGTGTTCTTGAAACTAGCAAAACCTTTTGATTTAAGTGAAAGCAAAGATGCTCTGAAACACAACAAATGCACTGAATTCAGCAAGGGCAGTAAAAGATAGGCTGGCTCGTAAGAGCTCTTTGAAAAGGCAGGAAACAATTATAGGGAACCCTGAATGTATTGCTTTGAAAACTTGCTGTGTTTGGGTGACTCGTCCGTGACTTTTGAGCACCACAGTACTCTTGAGCAATGTACGATGTACCTTGTTCCCCAAAACCTTCGGTGTATAGAAGGAAGGGAGTGGACTTGGGCAGCTGAAAACACATCCGAAGGACGCTTATAATATTTTAAGCTATTCCTGCTCCCTATTACGTTCAACAGCTGCGAAACTCTTTGTTGTTCCCAGAGGGGAACAACAATCTCTGGCAAGTTGCTGTGTATGGCTTCACCGCAAAGTTGTTACCCACCCTGTTTCTGAAGGTGGTTAGCTTTCCTTCATATGCAGCAGAGAAGAGGTCAGGTAGAAATGTATCCTGTGCAAAGATTTCTTCCATCCCTTCAGGCTTATTCAGAGAGTCTGCTAGGACTTGATTTTTATCTCTTCTTTAAGCACCTTTGGTTACGGACAGTGTGAGAGCTGTGGGAGTTTTGAATGAGTCCCTAGTGTCGTCCAAATCTGAGGCCCCCAGCTCACCCTAGAACTAAATTTCTCTCTTGGAAATTGTAGGCCTGCTTTGTCTTAAGATGAGCTGGATTGTGTGGGGACATGCTCACGTGGTCTTTCTGTATGCTGAACTTCTTTCTAATCTCCTTTCTTTTCTAGCTCTAGAGCAAGAACCAATGAGGCAAAAACCAACAGTAAAGAAACCGTGCCCAGAATCCTCTCAAAAGAGCCTAAAATTGAAAGAGTAAAAAAAAAAAATTGTTTCTGAATGTCCGCATGTGTTTGTAGGGGACTTGTTTGGGGAAAATAAAGCTATTTCCAGTCTCACATATAGTAACCTAAGTGCCTTGGGTTTTCAGCCCAGGGCCTGCTGTCTGCACCTCTAGGAGCAGTGCTGCTTTGATCACTTGGTGAATGCTGTGCTGCTGTCTTCTCTTCCAGTCGGGGGTAGCGAGTCTCTGCGTTCCTACTGGAGGATGTACTTGCCCAAAGTGCTGCTGCTCGTCTACGTCGTGGATTCAGCTGATCATGCCCGACTGCCTGTGGCAAAACAGCTGCTTCATCAACTGATCCAGAATGACTCCACCCTGCCGGTGGTGATTCTGGCCAACAAGCAGGTAAGAGTTCCTCCAGCTTGGGCTGGCAGCTGCTCTGAAAACAACAGCAAGGCCTTTCAAAGGAGACTCAAGGCCTTTAAGGAGGCCCTGTAGCTGTGGAGCCGAAGGGGCTTTCCAGGGCACCTGCTGACCGCAAAAGAAACTATTCTGCATCCGTAAGATGCAGGCCCTGTGCTCATAGGCAGTGCAATATGAGCTGTGGGTGGAAATAATGGTCAAAACTGTTGTAGAGCTGCGAGATCGGAGAGCTGTAAGGGAGACCACAGCTAGACCTGGAGTCAGGGTTGTGTTCTGAATGTCTGTCCACAAGTATCACTTTACCTAGCAGCAGCCACGTAGTGAAGCACAGTTGTCCTAAAGCTGCTGCTGAGGCATGAGAGAAGAGAAACTGCAGTCTTTCTTTCATCACAAGGTTGTGTTTTCTCTGAAGGTATTTGTGACAGTGTTAGTGACTGCTGGCTATCCTTGGAGTAGGATTGTGCTTGGGGTATGATGAGATGACAGAACTGCCTAGGGTTTTTAAGCCCGGCTCTTCTTATATGCGGGCTGTGCGCTTGGTTCGCTCTGCGTCGTTACCTCCTCAATTTCTCATGACTTAGGTGTGTAACTTCAGCAGTCCTTTGTGTTTCTCTTGAATACAACTGTGGGCTTTGGCCTCATCGAGCACAAATGCTACTTCTGATCTGCTAGATGCCTGGGCCAGAAATGCTGGTGGCTGAGAAGGTACCGGGGGAAGAATTGCTATATTTGCACTGTTCTTGTAACTCTTTACTGGGCTTCTGCTGTCAGAAACAGGGTCTTGGGCCAGCAAGACCTTCATCTGCTTTGTACAGCTAGTCTTACATTGTTATTTGGAAACACTGCAATGACTGGAAGTAGGACTCTACATTTATTTCTTTGAGAAGAAGTTAGGTAAAAGTTAATTTTTTTTTTTTTCAAAGCATTGAGGAGCTTGGGAACTTGATCTTGTAGAAGGCACGAGTTGGTGCTCCCTGAGCTTTTGAAACTCTTCAGCTCCCTGGACGACGGCAGTTGCCGCTGTCTTTTGCAGCTAACAGCTTGTTTTGTTTTTGTATATCAGGACCTTGAAGGTGCATACTGCATCACAGATATCCATGATGCTCTGGCGCTGTCTGATATTGGGGACAAGAGGAAGATGTTCTTGATTGGTACCCATGTGGCAGAGGATGGCTCTGAGATCTCCTCCAGCATGAAGGATGCAAAGGAGCTGATAACACAGCTGGTTTTGGAAACGCAGTGACAACTCTTTTCCTACAACATGACATTTGCAGCTGTGGGAGATGCGGTGTTAGTGTATGGTCAGCTTGCCACATGGCAACTGAAATGTGCAGATATTTTTTTTTCTTCTGTGTAGTTGTGGAGTTCCTGTGAAAATGATGTTGAATTGTTAAAATCTATTTTATGCAGTGATTTTAAAATATCTTTGAAAAGCCGTATATTTTTTAGAATATTTGTAGGGGGAAATGAGACACTCAGACAACAGAGTTAAGGAGATGTGTGGGGTAAACAGGCCTAAATGGCTTCTTGCCAGGTGGTAATCAAGAAGTGACCTCAATGGAACAAGTTGCATCCAGTGAATTTAACATGGCTTAGTGTCTTAGCCTATAATTGAAATATATTTACTTTTTATTTTAAAGAAGGTTTTACAGAACCCTGTTAGCAGTATTGTCCTGTTAAAAATGAGACCCAGCTTCTTGGCAGTGTCAGAAATGTAAAGTGCTGAGACTGGTATTTTCGACAGTGACAAATTATTGTTGGTGTAGCTGTACAGGATGCCATCTTTCAGGGAGTGGCAGATTGGAAATGTCTGGAAGTTGGGCTAGTTAGTGTGTCTGAAGTTTGGTACTCGAAATCATGAGCTGCTTCTGAAACTTTGGTTTACTGCTTATTTAGTGGATGAGAACAAGGAAATGAAAGTAATAAGACACTAAATATTTCTTTGCCTACAGGAAAAAAAACCCAAAACAGTGTAATTTCAGGTAGAGACTTAAAGCATTTAAGTTAAATTTGGCACCAAAGGTGGAGGGATTCCTTCATCAGTTTTAGCGGCTTATTTTGGTTTAGTCCAGGTTGTGCTGGAGGAAAATAAGCAGGTGAAAATCCATCGGTTTTGAAAATGATTTCTGTTATTGTGGCAGATGAAGAAGGCAAGCTGCCAGGGAGCGATGTGTTTCAGGATCTAGTCAATGCTGTATAGGGCACATGAGTGTTTTTTAATTGCATTTATTGTACAAGGGTTTTGTAGCTTTGTCCTTCGGGACAGATGAATAAAGCAGAAATTTTATGCTAACCACTGATCTATGCTTCATTTACCTGAACAAGGGGTGATATATCAACCCCCCTTACGTGGCCTGAGGGGCCTCCTTGGGCAGTTACCTTTAAGATCAGGCCTTTTCACTCTTCTATAAGGGATGAATGCTCAGCTCACCCATCAACACTGAATCCCTGCAAATCCTCCGCTGCCGATAAGGCTCCATCTTCTGAGGTTGGTCCAAGAGAGCGGGAAGCTGATGAGAAGCCGGGGCAGGAGGGCACCACAAACACCTTAGGGGACTTTGGAGGGGCTCCCCCTGCATGGTGGGGCTCCCCTGGCCCTTTAGGCTAGTCCACTGCCTGGCACGCATACCTCAGTGGAATTGGGGCTCAAAATGCATGAAGGAGTGCTCAAAGGTACATAGAAGTGATAGTTTGGAGCGTTCTCCAGACAAATGCACGTCTGCGCATTGCTTGGCTGTTATCACTATCGGGGCGTGTGGCTACCCGTAATCACACCTGATGTCGTTTCTCTCCACTGCCTGTATTGCCATATCTCAAGTTTGTCCTGTTTTCCTGTGTCTTAAAACGTGATGACTCCTTTGATACTTTACAGAGTCCAATTGAATACAGCCGCTACTCCTCTGAGGCTTTCAAAGCTCCCTTTGAAGTAGTGGTAAAAGGAAATAATAGGTTCTTAGACTGAGCCAAGTGGAAGCCTGCAGGTTACCAGTGGTGTTGGTGCACGTCCCAGGAGGGTGATGTTGGGGAGGGGATGTGGTGCTGATGCTGTCTTGCAGTCCTGGGAACTGCCAGAAGCCTGCGGTCAGGAGCAGTTACCAGAGAGGAGTGGAGCACGTCATGTGCGAGCACATCGCTGTGCAGCTTCACTGGGAAAGTATCAGGGATACCAACCGGCGGAAAAACGTACAAATCTCTGCTGAGCAATTGTGTTCTAAGAAGATGCATAAACTCCTCCTGCCTTGCAAATACTGCATGCTGAAGAATGGGCAGCCCAGGCTGCAGACATTGCCAAGCCTTTAAAATTCACCTCCTCTTCTCGTCTTTGCAGTTTCTTGCCACTCGTCTTGCATATTTGAGTGGCAGGTAAGAAACCCTGCCAGCCCCAGCCTCCTGGCTAGGGTCTGGACCATGCCCTAGGTCTCTTGGGGAGAGCTTGGTTGGGGATTTATGCCGAGCAGCAGCTCAGGGTATTGGATCCACTGTAATAAGCACATAGAGGAAATAATGCCTGGTTTTGCCTTTCCCCCCTGCTTCTCATTGCAAACAAGGTCTGACTGTCTTGCCCCTTCAAAACTGGAGCTGTGACCTTTTGCTTTAGAAGGTCATGTCAAAAGGAGTTAGAGCCTCTTAAGCGATGAGTTTTTGTGACCTCAGGCAGCTAAGGGGGATACGTCCGTGTCTGGCTGCAGCAGTCTAGCATTCAGCAAGGCCTTATTTTCCCTGCTGGAAAGGACAAGTGGGACCAGAATGCAAATGCTCTCCCAAAGCGGTTTCATCCTCTTCCCTTGTAAGTGGATTTGCTTAACTCCTTCAAGTTGCAGACCTGCTGAAGAAACATCCTGCCTGAGGAGGCCTGTCTAGCCATGGCTCTTGCTTTGATAAAAGAGTACAAAGTCATCTTTTTTTATTTGTTGGTAATTGGAAAAACAATTGAGATTAACGATTGTCAAGTGATTTGAGGGACGTGATCTGGACCTACCTGTGACTCATCTCTTCATTGGAGCATGACACAAGCTTCACAAGGCAGTGTCCAAGCAGAGCTGAGAGACAACAGAGATGCACGCACCCTTTGCAGTCCATTTGGATGTGGCTGCATAGTGGATCTGTGCCGAGCGACCAACCTGCCTGTGCAGAAAGAGTGATGAACCTGTCTGCAGAGAGGGCGGCGGGGTCTGCCAGCTCTGTGACGCAGTTAGGCTGGGGATGTGCGTGTCCTTCAACCCTTTGTGACTTCATGGGGAAAAGACTCTGGAGAGCCACTGGGGAATTAACAGCTGAAACCGGATTTTGGCTCCCAAAAGGACTGCTGCCTTCCTGAGCATGTCCTGTCTTGAACTGGCATCAGGGGGCCAATGTCCCAAGGGCAGTTCCCCCTGCGATGCTGGGGAGCTGAGTTTGTGGTGTCATGAGCAGCAGTTAGGTATGATGGGGAGACTAACCAGCGTGCCACTCGTGGGGGAGCACGTGGCAAGGGCATTCGAGGATCCTCGCTAGTGCTGAGCTCTCCAGCAAGTGTTTACCAGGGCTCAGTGTCTCACTGGAAGTTTCAGTCCCTTCAGACAAAGCGCGAGGTCGCTCCCAAAGCACAGACATCTCTTTACACTGGTGTCTTTGCTCCTCGCTAGGGCTACGCTGCCCTGTTGCCAGGTGACATTAAGCAGGGGAGCGATGTCCTAGGCTTTCACCCTCTGTGGTCTTTTTGATGGTATGGACAGCCATGACCACCTGTGTTGCATGGTTGCTCTCCATGTCACCGAGGGCAGGTGCCTGCAGCCCTGGTGGGCGGTTGCACCAGGACACTCTGCAATGCATTCGTGGCAGCAGTGCCTGCTCATCCTTCTCTTTTGTGCTCAGGATCACAAAGCACAAGCACTTCCCAGCCTCTGGGGTTTCAGACCTGAGACACTGGATCAGCAGGACCGGACAGTGACTTCTGATCTGGATCTGAATATTCAGTATAAACGTCTTCAGTGCTGCATAATGCATGCTCCAGGGACACAGGCCAGGTATATTCCTGCAGCACATAGCATACAGCATCTAAGATCTCCTGGGTGCTAAATGGACTGAAATAAAACAGTAAATTAAATTGTGAAGTTTAAGCCCTTTAAGGAATACATCTTCACCTGTGCTCCTAAAGCCCTGTGACAACAGTGCTGTTTCCATGGTGCCCTTTTAGTAAACACATGGGTGATGACAGTGGGTGTTTCTGTTCGCCGGGGTTGTGTGGGCTGGGAAATTGTCCATCCCCCATCTGCTGTGGTTGCATGGCATGTTATTAACCAGAAAAGTGTTTCCCCGCCTCCCCCTGCCATGTCCCAAAGGGACTCTGCAGCAGGGGCAGAATTGCAAATTCATATCTCCGCATACCAAAAGATAGCACGAAAGTCCCTAAGCTGGTGAGTTCACCAGGAGGTTAAAAGGATGGACAGTTACTTGGAGCGAGATCCCTTAAAAGCATGCTCGTGAAGGATGAAGGCAATGGCACGGGGGTTCGAGAGGCTTAGGGCTCTAAGTACAGCAGTAATTGCTTTATGCTTTGTTGGTCTAACAATTGAATGGTACCTTTGTCCTTTACTGCAGTTTTTGCCGGCTCCAAGAACTTGCAAGACCCAAGAAAGTGTTTTGTGCAAATGATCCCAGGTAAGGAGGCACATGGACAGCCTGGCTGAGGGCAGATGGGATCTTGGCCAGCGTGGACTGAGACCTTTGTCCTCCTATGGCCCTGCTCTCAAGAGCAGAAGTGGCTCCAAAAGCACCAAACTGAGACGTTTGAGGTGCAAGGGTCTCTGTTCAGTTTACTCTTTCATATTTTCAATCCAAAAACGGTGTTTGGCCCGGTTTTTGTCTTTGCTGCCTTGGTCTGGTGTCTCGGATGCTGCAGGGCAGGATGGTGCCGTGGTGCGAGCGGACTAGACCCTGCTGGAGCTGCAGGCCAGTGTACACTGGAGGACACAACCCCACTTTAGAAACAGGATCGCCCTTGGTGGTATGGGATCAAGCACAGGCACCAGCCTCTTGATGTCTCCTCTGCTGTCCAGTTGGATGTTGCTGTGCTTGAGAAAGGCTCTACAAACCCGCCACCCCGCTGTCCCCTATCCTGATTGCCCTGGTGCTCTCTCCTACCATGGCAGACGTTCATGCTGTCTCCCTCTCTTGGTAGGGGGATGGATAACTCCAAATTCATTCTGAGGGTGGGGGAGTTAGCACAAATGTGGCTGCAAAACGTCACCCACTTTCCATGGCACAACCCGACCATAACCTTATTATTATTTTTACCATCATACCTGCGGTATAGCTAGATGGTACTGGTGAGGCAAGTAAAATGCAACCATGAACCCGCCCCCAGGGACTTCAAGATGTAATGAAATGACCCTTTCTGCACATGCCCTGGGAACTGTAAAACCAGATTCATCACCTGAAGGTCCTTTTCTTTTAAAGTTGACAGCAACTGCCCACATAGTGGTAGGAAACTCAGTGCCAGAGGTGGCATGTGCTCGGGGGATGGCTGTGGCACTTGAAGCTGCGGGGAGCCTTAGGGACCAGGAGTGTGTCCCATCCTAGGCAGGGAGGGAGGCCAGCCCCAGCAAGCACACTTCACATTCATGCACATTTCAAAAAGCATGTTTCACGCTCTGTTCTCGCTAGGCTAATGTGGGGAAACCAACAGACCATCTGGACCCTCTCACGGGGCGCCATGACTGCTCGGCCGTCCCCAAGAACAGTGGCCCTGGCCAAGCCCAAGCGCAATTTTGATGGCAAGCCCCAGCGCAGGTCAGTGGTGTGGGAGCACATCCTGGTGAAAGAGGTTGTTCGGATGGTGCTCAATAGAGAGACGGGGTGGGGGGGCAGAGATGTGCTGGCTCCTGGGGGAAGGGGAGAAGCGAATGGAGCCGTGTGCCACCTCGGGCCCTGCCACAGCCACCCCACAGGGAGCTCCTCACTGCTGAGACCTTCTAGGCTGTGCCGATGCTTGGAGCAGGAGCTGTGTGCAGCAGGGGAGAAAGTGCTTCCAAAAAGAGAAAGAATTGGGGAGGGTTCAGTTTTGATGCCCTTTTATTTCCTCATAGCCTCCGGCAGGGGCTATTCGTGGCTGCGGGAAGGGCTTCTGGGACTGCAGTCCTGATTGCTGCTCTGGTTAGAGATTGGGTCAGCTGCCCCCGGCGACAGCTTTGATCTCAGTCTCCAAGCACATGAGAGTATTTTCCTTTGCTGCTATCCAAACCCTCTCCTGGCCAAAATCCTCCAAAAAGCAGCTTTCCATCTTCTCGGAAAAAGAGACATCACATGTAGGCACGCATGCCCTGATGGAAACATGTATGTGTCATCCCTGTGTGTATAGAGAGACTGTCTGTCCCTACAGTGTTCCCTGTCCGTAGTGGGGCTGATGCAGCCCAACCAGGCCCATGGCCACTGTTAGCGATCCTCTGCATCTTCTTGGAGCAAGACCTAAACCTTGAGGATAAAGGACAGGAAGCGCTCTGAACAGAAAAATCTTGTAGCATCCCACCGCCACTGGAGGGAACCTGTGGGTTGTTGGTGAAGAGCTGGTCAAAGGGGTCCATGTTTGGAAATAGGAGTGAAAAATAATGCAAAAATTGTAAAACTCAGTGGGGCTGGGGGGGCGGGGTGGTGCTGTATTGCTTGAAGCTACTCATCTGTGGCTCTGTTGGAGGGAATGAAGCTCTTTTGGAGACAGGACAACAGCTGCTAGTCTGTAAGAAGCCCTAGCAGTGAAAATGGGGACGAACCCATGTCGCACTCCTGGCTTTCCTCTAGCTGGAGGGATGTCCAGATATGCATGCAGGCACGTTTCCCTCCTGTGCTACCGTCCTCACTTCGGGGGTCCCCATCCTCCTTGGAGCCTCTGCCCTGACTGGTGGTGTCCCTCTGAGAGCCCTTCCCGTCCTTCTGCTCGCCTCTTCCCTGGTGATGGTGGGCGTGTGCACCAGCTGTGGCCAACGGAAAGCCGGCTGAGCGGGCACTGGGCAAGCCTGGGGAGATCCTGGGGTGAAAGGAGTTGCAAAGGTGCAAGGTGCTGTCAAGCCATCGCGACAAAGAGGTTTCTAAATTGGCAGCTTGTGGAGATGAACAGCGGAGACGCTGCCAGTTTTGCGTGCCAAAGCGCCTTCTTGAAATGGCCCAGGGAATGGCCTAGACTTTGAAAACATTGTACTGGAGGGTGCTTAAAAAAGCACTTTGCATATGGAAACAAGCAATTACCTTTCAAGTCAGGTAATCCCAAGTGTAAATGCGCATTTGTTCATGGCTTTTCTATGCGTGCTGTTGCCAACTGTGGTCCATGCAACAAGCACAGATATTTAACCTGCCTTTGAATGCCGTCCGCCAGGATCACATTCACTGTCTGTTGGCTGCACTAACTCCTCTGTGCTGTTTCCCCAAGACCCCTCTTCTTGTACAGCTGTGGCCGGGAATCAGAGATCTGGGAGCGTCCCCCGCTAGTGGATTTTGGCTTGCCTTCTGATCGGCTACTGAAGTTATCTGAGCCTAAAAAACACCAGGCAGCTTACCTGCAGCAAAGGTGAGAGGCCAGAAGGCCTGTAGGGTGCTATAGGTAAGCCCTCGGCACTTGCAGCGTCAGAGCAACTTAAAAGTAGTAAGCACAGAAGCAGGGGATGGGTATAACAGAGCACAAAATGCAAAATACAGAGCAGGGACCCTGCTGGGATGAAAAGCCTGGGACTCTGGTGGGATGAGCGTGTTGTGAGCTGGGAGCGAGCATGAGACAATGCTGCCGGTCCCCTGTGTCCATCTCCCTTTGTGCAAACGTGGGGCTCGAACACCCCAGCTGCAGCCTGGCATAACCAGTGGGGGCACCAGCTATGCGTGACCACACCATGGCTCTCTGCTTCCAGACCCCGCCAGTCCCCTGAGTGGCCTGTGTCACCAGGTGCACTGAGCTGTGAAGCTTCCCCTCGCGTCCTGCAACTTGCCCAGCCCAAGGCGCTGCACCCTGCGTTCCTGCCAGCCAGAGAGGTGAGGCGATGTGGTGCAACGGCCTGAGCTTTTGCACCCTGTATCCTGCCCGCCAAATGTGCTGGATGTGTGCCATGGAGGGGAAAAGCTGACCGGTTCTCTTGGGGTTTGCAATACCAAGAGCAACTGCTTTTTTGGAGCGAGATGCTGCCGTTCTTGCAAAAGCTCCCTGGTGAGAGATAGAGAACAGACAGGCTGGAGCAGCCCAGAATAGCAGGCGAGCCAAGGGAGGGGCCTGGGATGCATCCCCTGATAAAGCAGTCTGGGAAAGTGGAGAGAGCTGGTGGGAACAGCCCATGTAGGGAACAGAGCCAGGTCTGGAGCTGGACAGCCGTGCTCCAAGCTGTGTACGGATGGGGCATGAACTGGTTTACCAGAAGCCTAATTTAGAGAGGTATTTCCAAACTTGCTCCTCTGAGGCAGGCCATCGCTTTGGCTGGGGCGGGGAGGGCTTGGGGCAATCTCAGATTACACTCATTTCCATGGCAAAGGCCAAGTTTTCTGGCTTCAGTCTCTAAGCTGAGAGGTATGGGAGGACATGCTGGAGTGGGCCTTAGATTCAGTAATGCTGCGAAAAAGAGAGTGAGGAGTCCCATGCTGGTGCAGCAGTCCCTTTTGCTGTAGGAATACTGTTAACTGCACCAGCACCCTTCCCCTGAAATCTCAGTGTTTCTACTTAGCAAGGAAATTCTGTGATTCAGCCAGGAGTAAGGCTATGAAGAGTATTTCTCTACTCTAGAAAATAAATCTTTCTCTGCACTTTTCCAGGCTCTCATTACCAGCCTTTCTCTCCTGGCTGTGAGCGGGCGACAGCTGGAGAAAACAGTAATATTGGCCGTGGCATACAGATCCAATTAGGGCCCAAGTTACCCTATAGTCGAGGTGAAAGAAAAAAAAACAATGGGTGTTGGGAAAACAAGAGTGCCCTCTCTTGTAGGTGTGCTGAGTGTTCATGCCTTAGGGGTGGGAGCATGTCCCTGTTATGCCAACCTGGGATGCCACGGCCGTTTGGCTGGGGTGACAGAGCCTTCCCAAAGGGCTGGTGCTGCCACAAGTGTGCACGTCCCTCCATGGCCACCCTGAACCTGTGTAGGTGGAGACGCAGGTTACAAGCGCTGCAGCCTTGGCCAGACCGTCCTCGCGGTTACAGCATCTCGCAGAGCCCCGGCTCAAGAAGGAGACCTGCTACTATGACCTGGGATCCCCTGAATGTGCCATCTGGCCGGTAAGGCAGCGTGGCTGGAGGCTGTGTGTGGCAGGGACGTCAGGCAGTGGGAGGGCATCAAGAGCCTGGCGGCTGGGCTGGAGGCACGGGGCCTCCGGAGCTCCACCCAGCAGCCTCAGATGTGGTGTCCATGAGGCTGATACAGCTGCTCCCTGGGCTGGAAACCAGGCCTCATCCTCCCTCTAGGGCCTGACCTGGCTCCCAGCAGGAGAACGGCAGTCCTTTGCCTCGTATCTCAGCAGGGCGAGATGCGGGTCGGGACAGATCGCTACAGGGCAGCACCTGCAAATATGGGGATGGGGAGAAGTGGACGAGTGTCTAGTTGGGATGTCCAGGCCGGGTGTGCTGGTGGACAAGTCGGCCGAGGACTATGAGCAAGCAGAGCCTGGAAGGTGGGCTGTGAGACTGGCCAGACAGTGGTTTCCCCTTCCACAGCTCATCTGGTGCCGGACCCAGCCATGGCCGGGATCATGTCCCATCGCTGTGCAGTCACTGAGCTGCATATTTGTCACCCCTGGATGCCAGGGGCACCCATGAGGACTCTCTCCTCATTCCTCCGCAGGTGTCCAAGGCAGCTCAGCAGGCAATCGCAAGTCCTCGGACCCTAGAGTTGGCCAAGGCAAAAAGGTTGCTTCCCGACTATAAGCCCCTGAGGGATGCTGAGTGGCCAGTGACAAAGGCAGCGACGCTTGCAGTGGCTACACCAAGGCTCGTGGAACTGGCCCAACCTCGCAAAAGGTAGGCGCTGCCTCCCTGTGACGGGGAGATGCTCTGCTCTCAGCCCGTTTTGTGCAGGCCCCAGCACCTTACTCAGTTGGGTTTGGCCAGCGTCATTAAACCACTGCCTTTCTGCTGCCAAAACGCATGGGTTTTGTATGGCTGGATGTGTTAATGCTACATGGATTGTGGTTTGAAAAGAATTTTTGAGGTGGCAGGAGACATCAGAAGAGAAGCAGGAGAGGTACTGGGAATGACTGGTTGGGGTATAATAACTGCAGTTTAAAAAAGTGGCTGGCTGACACGCGGCGCAGTGCAGCACATCCGTATTGCCCAGTGTGGGGCAGCTGGCCTCCCCTTGGGTAGGAGATATGGATAGGATCCTTCCCAGAGGGCGAAGGCACGCCTGGCTGCAGCAGCTGGGGCAACATCAGCAGGGCGGCCGCCCCACAGTGTCCTGGTGACAGTGAAGCAGGCATGACCGCTGTTGTCCTCCACTGCCAGCAGAAAGGCAGGGCTTGGGCAGAGGTGTGACGACTGGCAAGCGGCTTCGAGAGCTGGCCCCGCCGCGGTCCGACCTGACCTGCTCTGTCCTCGCTCCCCCAGGCCTCCTATGGACTTGGCTCAGTTCAACCCCGAGGCGTTCACGGTGAAGGAGGCTGCTAAGAAGGCGACTTGCTCCGCTCGGCTCCAAGAACTGGCGCAGCCCGTTAAGCACTGAGCTCCTGCAGAAATGCGTCCTGCTGCTTGTGCTGGCTGCCCCCGTTGCCCCTCCAGGCTGGGCTGTGGCTGTGGCTGAAAAACCTGGAGCACAGCTCAGGGGCAGCACTTTCTTGCAAGCAGAGCCCTTTTACTGGGCTTATCTGGCTGGTTAAATAAAACAGTCCTTCCTTAAAAGCAAAATAGTCACCAGAGGAAAAGAGCAGAATTTGGCCTAACGTGGGAAGCCTCTCTCCCAGGGAGCAGTTGTGTTTGGGGTTTACTGCTCTTCTTGTTTCATTTTTAATAGTCGAAGAAATAGTGAAATAATGGTGCTACTGAGGGAAGGCAGCACAGGACCTGTTCTTTCACATACAGGAATGTGACAAACCAAAGCCTACAGGGCACAGGTGGTTAATGCAACACAACTCCTGGTCTGCGGTTTCAACATGTTTGCTAAAGTTTAGAGGCCTTATTAGTGACATGCAGTTTTGTGCTTGCAACAGCAATAGAGACACACAAAGCTGCAAAATTAAGATCCAGGGCTGGACTTGACAAGGTGCAAAGCTTTAGTTAAGAGTTTGAAAATGGTGGTGGTGGGTGGGGAATGAACGTGGAAGTCAGTGTGGATTTTGGGCCCCCTTTTCTTGAAGGCGCAGGGAATGGGCAGACCAAGCGTTTTACTTTGCATGCCTCTTCAATACAAATTTTGCAAGCTGATTGAGCCTGTGCAGTTCAGATAATGCGGTTGTGTGATGTGGGGCAGAAGAGTTGAGCTTTGCATTGGCGTTTTTGGAGTCCAACCCAAAAAAGCAGAGTTCCCTTCAGCATAAGGGAGGAGGCATGTTGCAAAGGCTAAGAAGAAAATGGGTATTGGTGTCAGACTCTGCAAAACAAACTCTGAGCCCCAGTCAGATTTGAGGGTAAGTCAGTTTGGCAGCCGGATTGCTGGGGGACAGCGCAGGCTATGTGTGCCTCCAGCGTGGGACACGGTACAGCAGAGACCATTTCCATGTTTCCTATAGGTTTGGTGTGTTTTGCACTGGCAACCCAACCGCTGTTGCTGGGCTGGCGATACTGAGGCGAGAGAGACGCTTTCCAATAAAGGTCAAAATGCTTAAGTGAAAGTACCACTGAAGGAGAAGGACAAGCAAAAATAAGGAGTCTCCCAAGCACATGGCAGTTTTGGTGCCAGTCAACGCATCTTAATCTTCCCTGTGTTAATCTGATTCTTCTGCCCAAGGAATCGAGGCAGCTGACCACACACTAGAAGCGGATTAATCAGAGGATCCACTAATTGCTCCGCTAAGCCACTAAGCAGAAGATTTTTTTTTTTTTGGAACAAGGTAAGGTCATTGAGGAACGGTGCTTTTTTTTGCCCATGCACTGGCCTGTTCAAAGAGCAGGCGCAGTTTGGGCCTTGCACGAGAGCTCCAGCATGGCTGCATTGTCACGGCTTGTAGGCGGCCAGAAAGAGGCTGGTGCGGTCCCCCGCCCACGTCATTGCGGCACCTGCTGAGGCCACCTTGGAGAAGCGCTGCCCTTCCAGAGGTGTATGTCCCCCACTGCTGGGACACGGAGCGCAGGCGAGGAAATGACACGGCTCCTCTCAGCCAGAAAAACTTTGCATTTTATTAATGCACCAGGAAAAAAAAAAAAAAAAAGACCAGTTCTTTCCCTTTGGTGACATTTGAGAGATGTGAGAAGGGTCTTGGCTCGATCTGGTTACGATGTAGCCACTTGGTTTGCCAATATCTTAGAGTTACCATTTGCATCTAGAACTAACCAAGATCACACTAACATACATCACTTCTGGTTTTCCAGGTGTCCTGTGCTCTGGATGTTAAAGCTAACCCACATACCTTGTATCTGGGGATCATAAGGAAAAGACACACACCCACACATCCACACCCACACACACCCCTATATCTGGACCTTTCATGGTAGCTTTTCTGCGAGGCCAGGACATAGGCATGAGATTGCCTGGCTCTGTGCAGCCACTGCTAATGATGTGAATTGCTTGACAGGTTATGCAGCCATTGAAAGCTGTATACATACATGTATCTATATATAATCTTTTTTTTTTCCTTTTTCCTGATTATGTACACTTTAAATAAAAGTTATATTAAATAGCAGGGTATTCGTTTTGTACCACAAAACCTATTGCAACAGGGGAAACCCACTCCAAAGAGTTTTGCCATCATTTGCGGCAGGTACGGGGACAGGAGCAGCATCCTCTAGTCCCTGACGGACCCACTCTCTGAGGGCAGCCCTTCAGACTTCCTCCACTCTGCCAGGCGTTGCTTGAACCATTTCTGGAGGGGGGGAAAAAAAAAAAAAAACAAGGAGTAAGTGCACTGCGGTGAACAGACCCTCTGAATCGCCTTGCTAAGGAGCAAATGGAGCCAGCACGGGGGCCCAGGCAGGGGAAGCACGCGACGCTGCTGTCTTTCAGCGAGTTGCTGCGTTGCTCCTAGTCAGCGCAGGCAGTGGGACAGCAACTCCTGACCCAACTTGTGACCCCACACAGGCATCTCCTCCAAACCGTCTCCTCGGGCTCAGTCTAGACCTTGATAGGCCGGGCAGGTCCTCATTTTAATGCTGTGCATCCCGATTTTTCTTATAAACAGAATAAGAGGTTGGCTAAGCCACTGCTGGATGGTGTTTGTTTAAATGCCTGGAGCAGTAAAACAGTGAACCCTCTTCAGAAAGGATGAGAGGCAAAATACAGGGACTCTCGCGAGATTTATGGACAAATAGATTTTTTAAAGGGGATGCGAAGTGAGCTGGTCGTCAAGAAATATACATGGCTGTGTTATTCTCCGGGTAACTTGGAATGGCTAAGCCAACTCCCGGATCTGCTGATGCCGGTTCAACACAGCTGCAATTTGAAATGGGGGATAAAATGCCGCTTGGCTAAAGCCACATTACCTCTGTAAGAACAGAGGTAAAATTCATGTGTGCCGGAAGCACAGCTCAGCCTTCTGTTTAGGAAGACGCCTGTGATTTGCTTTGTTGCTGCTCATTTGGTTGCTATATTTGTTCACAGCTATTGTTGAAGCTCTTGTGGTCCCTAATGGTAAAAACGTGATGTTCTCCGCAAGTGGCTCTTGCGCTAGTGCTGCCTTGGACTATGTCCAGTCGGACGATTGCCTTGTTGACCTCCAGCTCCGCTTCCTGTCCTAAACCGCTGTGTCCTGCTGCCTTCCTCTACCTCTTTGCGTTGCATTTTTACTGGTAGTAAAACAGCTGCTATATATAGCCGATAAAGCTCTCCAGATGTCAGAAGCGGCAGTTCTCCATGTTATACGCAATGCAGGCGCTTTGCAGCGAAGTGCCCGCATCTTGATCCCTTCCTTAACATGACCTTCATCTCCAGACCTCTAGGGGCACTCTGGATTCAGTGAAAGACACGGTTGTCAGTGAAGACTTTTTAGGGTTATCTCCAGAGCCTATGTGGCCTGTGTTTAGTCTTCGCTTCAGGAAAAAAAGTCCACCACTATGTCTAAGGAGGAAAAGACGTTTCGGGGTACCGCTGCCTCAAACAATCATTGCAATGAGGTCCCAGACAAAAAAAATACCTGTGGGTCAGTAAAGTGCAGTGGCGGGGAGGGGGGTGGGTGGGGGCATTTCCACCCCAGCAAAGGGTGATGAGTGCAGCGGCTGTTACACCAGCACCCTTCCCCAGGACAGGCTGGATGCTGCTTGGCACTCACCCCTCTGGCCTTGCTCAATGAGAGCCAGGCTTAGGAACTCTTTGCGAAACACTGCTAACTTTCTTCTCGGTTGGATTTCTTTTCTTTTCTTTTCTTTTTTTTTTTTTTTTTTGAATTGGCTTTTGTAGACCTACCAACCCTGCTAGGAGTCGAGAAGCAGTGTATAAACCATCTGCATCGCAGCCAGGGCTGCACTGCAACCTGAAAGGGGTGGAAAGGAGCCAATTTGTTTTGAAGCTCGCCAGCTGGACCACAGGGGTTTGGTAGAAGTCTCCGACAGCGGCAGCTTGGCAGGACATTTGGGAGATGCTATATCTACCAGAGAGGCCTCCGGGCTGAGTCTGAGCTGAGGAAGGGGCTTGGGGGCAGCAGGGTCACAGAGATCCCTGGGGTGCCCAGGGCTGGGGTGTAGGAGGCTGGAGGTTGGGACAAAGGGGCTGCGGTGCTGAGGCATGTGATTGCAGAGGGGGGAGGCTTCAGGGCTGCAGGGAGCAGGAGCATGTGGGGGACAGTGAGGTCTGTGGGGGTGCACTACAGTGCCAGGCATGCAGTGTGGGGTTAGATGGATGCAGGGTGCAGGAATATTGGGGGACATGGAGGTCCGTAGGGGTGCAGGACAGTGGCAGGCATGCAGCGTGGGGTTGGAGGGGGGCAGGGGGGGCGGGGGGGGGGG